TATATATATGTGTGTGTATAAATATGTGTGTAAATATATATATATATATATATATATATATATAAAAGTGTGTGTGTGTGTATCATTCCCACTGTCTTGCAATATTCTAAACAATGATTCTAAATTATAAACGCTTAGGGAGTGGTGGCGCAGAGTTGAGAGTTCCAACCTGTGATTGGAAAGTTGTAGGTTCAGCTCCCCAGACTGACAACATAAATGTGGGTGGAAATGGTGAAGCACCCACACCTGCCTCTACCCTCATTTTCCCTACTCTGGGCCCTTGAGCAAGGCTCTCAACCCCCACTATTTTCTCCCAAAACAGGTCTTTCTTGAAAATGAGTTCTCGTGATTCATTGAGACTACCTGTATAAATAAAGGGTAAATAATTAATTAATTAATTAATAATAGGGCACAGAATGTCATGATTTCAGCTCTCTGCCTCATCCTCTCTCAGCCACCTGCAAGCAGTCTTGGACACATCCACTTCTCCGCTCTGCAGGAGAACAGCTGATCAGCTGCAGCAGGAAGCTTATCCTGCAGTATGGGCTGCACAAAGGTGCTGCAGGTGCTAAATAATTTCAAATAATTTATTTTAAATAAAAATTCCATGTCTATCGTGCGGCTCAATCAATCAGCCAATTGCGTGTCATGTTCAAGCCTATATTGGAAATTCGCAATAGAGAGAGTTTGAGAAAAACGAACTGCAAAGTAGCAAGGGACTACTGTATTTCAGTTTCCTCCTACAGACCAAAAACATGCCTGTTAACATATGTTATGGTAACTCTGAGTTGTCACTAAGTGAGGGTGTTGGTCTCTATAGCCTCTTGGCCACTGATAAGTGCAACTCCACTCATCCAGCTCTCATTTTATCGGTTCTTCTCAGGAGCATGTGAATTGCTGCAGTGACTTGTTTGTTTTGTGGATTGTCAATGCAAAGTAGACGGTTTCTTGAAGCGCCGTCCAGGTCACGCTGAATCCTCTGATCTGCCAACAAAGACGGAAAGGAAGCTGACTTTTTGAAAATTTGTAAGACTTTCTCTGTGCATATGCAGTCATGAAAAACGGGGGGAAATCCATATAGTTTACGGACGATCCCAAA